GCGCGGTGCGAGGGGCCTGGGCGGGCAGCCCCTGAGGGCGGCGGGGCTTGCGCGTTAGATCCGCGGGCTGGGTTTGCGGGACGCGCGTACTTCCGCCGCCGGGGAAAGGGTGGAAGGGCGGGCGGCGGGGCTGGCCAGCGCCGTGCGGCCACGTTGCGCAGCGCCCTGTCGGCCGTCGCGGAGTAAAGCGACACGTCTGCTCCGAACTGCGGCGCGGCGGTGGTTGTGCCGCCCGCCTGAGGGGACGCAGGCGGGCCCCTGAGGGGACACAGCGGCCGGTCTTGGAGGGAAACCTTTTGGAGGTAGCTCAGGGGACTGCTTGGTGCGCTTCACGGCTTAGGGTAAATACACCCTTCCGCTTTTTGCTGTCAGAAAACGTAAGGATTGACAATAGTAGGCTAATCCACTAGAATTATGCCTTGTGCTGTGAAATGTAGCATGGCAGCGTGTAGATGGCTCTAGTATATCTTCTACAGCCTGTGACTGGCAGTGAGTTTGCTTGCTTATGTGAGGAGAAAGACTTAAAACTCACTATTTTCAAGAAGAGTGGGTGCATGTAGATCATCTCAGTAGAACGACACTTACCTGCAGAGAAGATGAAGACCCCAGCCGAATTTAGCCCTTCTGTTCAGCCGAATTTAGCCCTTCTGTTCCTCTCATCTTGTGAATGTGTTCCTAAGCAAAACTCCGTCAGATGATACTGAAGAGCTGCTCTACAAATGGGTTACTGGGCCTAGGGAACGTAAGCCGGGCTCAGCTACTCTCCCTGAGCTTGGCGTGTGATACAAGGAGTACTTTGGACTCAAGAAACATCATTATTCCACGTAACTGTGGTGCTGAAGCATCCCTGCCTAATAACATCAGCCTTAAGAATAATTCACAATTGTGTAACTCGGTCACAAATGTTGGAAAGCACAAATATTTTTGCAAAGGCTGTTAGACAGTGCAACAGGCTCAACCCAGTGGAAGCATTTATATAAATGCTCTGCATTTTCAACACCCTGTGAAATGACTAGGCATTTAATCTTCTGCTCTCAGCCAGTTCAGTAATGACTACCTCTGTGAGGAAACAGGATGAAGTTCTTGCCAGTTAATTGCAATTAAAATACTACTACTACTATTCCTCTTAACCAAGCAGGTCCTATTTAATATATGTATAAGTAAGCACTATTTTAAGTCCTTTTATCTCAGCAAGTCACAACTCGATTGTGGTTAACGACAGTTTTTATCACTGAATCGTAATAAGTTTGGATTGTCGGGACACAGCTATGATGCAAGTCAGAAAAAGATGGAGTTGCACTCTTTACCTCTGGGTTTCCTTACCTCATGAGTTTAATTTAGATTTTTCACAACATCTTACTATGTTCCCTTAACTCCCTTTGTATTTTAAAAAGAGGTTCAGAAAACAAAAACAAGTAGTAAGAGATGTTAAGTACTTTTACCCATCTTCCTACCCAGATCTTATCTCTAAATTGCTACAGACTGGCTAAGTAATTCTACTTTTTTGAAAGTATGCTGTATGCTATAACGAATACTTTCAGAAATCCACATGGCTACTGTAAGTGTTGTAGCCTTCACTGGCCTGTTCTAGATGCTGCTTTAAGTGATTATATTGTTACCTGGGCTTGGCTAGGATACCTCGATTGCTTCTGCGAGCCTCAGGTCTAGCACAGTAAAATGGTGGCCATCTTTGATCCCCAGATAAGATCTGGAAACTAAGAGGAGTTGCAGGAACCTAGCCTGAGGAAATGAAATCATTTGAAAGACTGAATTTAGAAGAATTTTACTTGAACGAATTTAAACACTAAAAAATAAGACAATTACATTACAGTACATACTCATATGCAATCTCATCTACTGTTACTTGTTTATCCTCTAGTTCTTGGAGGTTAATAGCCATTAACTTTCATAGCAGTCTCTCTGCATATCAGACATGATTTGTCCTAGCAACAAGGAAAAAACAGTATCTTTTAAAGTTATTTGCTCACTGGTGTTATACGTTCATCAATATTTTTCTATACCAGTGTACATTCATTCTCTTCGTCAGAATAGAGCCTTCTGTGTTACAGTGTGTCAGACACACTATGACTGACTATCGCGCCTTTGTCCTAAGAATTTCACAAATGGATCACTTGCCACTTTGTTTGCTCCACATCAGAAGTAATTCTCTAACATTTTTTTTTTAGAGAAGCAGGTTGGATGCTTCTGGATGACTTTTCCATTAGGAGGTGAATGCCTCAACACAGAGTTCTTCACTTTTTCTTTTCAAATGCTGCTTATTACAGTCTCTCCAAAGAAGACCGAACTCTGTGAAGAGCACAATGAGAATACAACATCACAAATAGAAATTGAAATGTGATGCAAGCCACTATCATGGCCGAAGGTTATTTTCCACTGATGTTGAAGCTGAAGAAACCTCTCTTGTGCAAGGACAGGCTAGGTTCAGGACAGATTAGGAGTCAAACTGTGTGTAAAGAAATGTAGGGATGTCTTGGTAAATTTGGAATAATAGAACAATCAATCAGCTCCATTGATTTTGGATATTTTAAAACCCAGCTTAATGTATGGGATGCACTGATTATTTTTTTTTTTAAGCTGATATAGCTTGGAAATGCTTACTGTTGAGGTCAATGCAATGATTGATGTCTTATTTCAAAATAGTATCTGCTTACATTCCTTAACAAATCCTTATTGTAAGTGCTGCATGTAGTCCTATAGATTTTTTTTAGTATCACATCACATCACAGGGTCTCTTAATGCTGAATGCATACAAGTTATTCAGAAATTTCTCAGAAATTTGAAAATATAATATGAATAGCCTTAGGGCTAAATTCATATCAACACATACCATTTTGCTTTGCTAAGAAGTCTACTATTATTTCTTAGTCTTTGTAAATGGTGTGCTATCTGAAATGCCTGGTCATAATATTGCCGAAATAGATTAAGTTAATCTCTAACAAAACAGTGTGATTTTGTTCATACATTATGAAGTTACTTTGTCTACTGATGTGCTTTACAGAAGAGTCTCTGTAGTGCAGACTGGGACCAGCAGAAACCTGTGAGCACCAGTCAAGTGCTGACCAGTTGAGTAACTGGGGGTGCCTTGCTACAGAGCCAGAGGTAGATTTGCTGCAACTGGAGCTCAGCTTGGCATAGGCACTGAGAGCAGCTTTCCTTCAGAGGGGGAAAGCTCAAGTTACTCTGGCTCTTGGTCTCACAGTGGTTCTGGCATATATTATTCTAAATCTGATCAGGTAAATTACTGACTTGTATACTAGAGATACATTTTCAAAAAACATACGCCGAGGCATTCGCAAAGGCAGGTTTTTAACAAGGCAGTTGATCTGGGATATATGTGGCTGTGTTTTTTTTCCAGTGGTGACTTCAGAACTGCAGTAATGAGGCTGTAGTGAAGCAGCAGAGAAAGTACCCAGGCAGGCCTTTGGGCATAGCCATCTGTAAGAAGGAGGTGGATTTTCAGTATAAATAGCGCACGCTCCTACACTAAGTAACTATGTTTTCACATTTGATTCTAGATGCTTATAGGACAACTCCTAAATGCCCAGGCCTATCATTAGGTTAGACAACCACTGATTTGTGGGACAGATCTGCAGAAAGTGTGGACACTGTGTAAGACCTGCAGAAGATTCTTCAGCAGGTCTCCCTAAAGGAACACAAAGAAGACAAAATTAGCAAGTTACACAGACATCAGTGTATCAAGCAGACTGGGGCTGAGACCTGCCTAGAGGGTTGGGGGTGAGACTTTTTGCTGGTACATTGCAGTTCGTGAGCTGGGGTATGTGTATAGCACTGTTAGTGTATGGCACTACAGGTAATGAAACAGTGCATGTAAAATGTAGAATTAAAGTCAGAAAATAATTTGAACTCCTTAATGCAACTGCAAATAATTTTTGTATTTCCATTCTTCCAACTCAGTTCTCGACTGTATAGGTGTGACCTTTTGCATGCTGGGCAGAACTGTACTGTGTGTATTTCACTTCAACACTGGCAAACCAAGTGCTTAAGTAACCAGATTATGTTTATCTGTGTAGCGATTAGTTAAACCCCATGAAGTTAATGAGAGCTTTTCCAGTGGCTTTTACCAGTAACCTTGTCTTGGTTTTAAAAAGAGCTGAGTTGGTTGGTTAGTTTGTTTCCCCACTAACATGGACACTTTACAGTTAGTTTAAAACTACCACTGATTTAGCCCAATTTCAGTTGATGCTTTTTTTTTTTTCATTTTAACTGTTTTGGGATTATAAAATAGTATTGTGTTTACATCTACTTTTTGTTCTGTAGCATGATATCATTTATGATAAAAATTCCTGTAGTAATTTCCTTGGTTCACCACAGGCATCATCTGCTAGGTTGTCTACAGGTGTCTACCTCAGCTGCTGATCTTTCTGTAAGTGTTAGTGTTGATACACAAGGCTGCTAGCTGTGAGTTAAAGATCACAAACAGAAGTAGGCTACTACTGGCATTCCTTCTGTTCAGCGTTCTTGTATCTCTGTGCTGCTTATCTGCCTTTCCATCTCAGTTCCTTTAAGTCTTTCAAGTATTTTATATTCTATTCAATCTTAAATCACAGTGTTTTAAATGGACTATTCCAGGCTACTGTTCAGAGAGACAGCTAACGAACGCCTGTTTTGGCAAGCCAGTCATTGACATCAGCTGACCATAGAAGCAGACCTGTGTTTGATAAGTAGTGGTGGGAAATAGACCACACACCCCAGTTTTGGGTTCGTTTCAGCAATGGTTACTAGCTACCCTAGGAGACTTCAGCAAAGAGTTCACAGGTGCCTCCCCCCCCGGATCAAAGTGACAGAACCAGTGCTTCGAGCTAATATACATTTTAGCCGTATCTGTTATAGTGTTAGTTTTCCTGGAGAGATTGGCTTCTGTTAACGGCAAAAGCCATTAAAGCAGCTTATGCAGGAGTTTATTACCTCTCTACCATCCCAAAGTCCACATCGTTATTGAGGGGGGAAAATGGTAAATGCACAATCAAGTGTAAATGTGTCATAGTAGTGACTTAATGATTTTAAATAGGCGCACATGACCATTCATACAGTTCGATGCCTTTTCTTTGGTGTGTTGTCATAATCTGTAGAACTACATTATTCACACATAATGGGAAACCGAGATAAAGTTGTAACTTCGGCTACTGATAATAGACCTCTTCGTTGGATAAAGTGTGTCAGGGTTCAAAGTCACCAAAAGTCAGTCTGGCCTTGTCTTTTTTTTCCTTTTTTTTTTTTTTTTTTTTGTGAGGGAGAGTGTGAAAACTGCACACATGCAGCTCCTGTTCTTTGGCAAGCATTCATAGGAGTAAATTGCTGAAGTCCTCTGTGGCAAAGTCCATGTTTTTCATTTTTTGCCATTTCTTCTTCTATTTTTCTATTTTTGATGAGAAAGGGGGAGGAAGTCCCAGAATACAGACAGATTGTACTTGTCAGGTTGCAGCAGCTACATCAGCAACTCATCAGTAGCCTTTGCTGCTTTCTAGTAATACTTACAAAGTTATTAATGCAGCCAGAATTTTGGTCAATTTGTTTAGTTAATAAGGCGAATTTTGCTGGGTTCATTCTGTTACTAACATTCACATTCACTGATAGGTGGTATTGTCACCAGGGTCTACAAAATATTCTTTTTCTTGGCTGAAGAAATTCCTCTACTGGAACAGAATACCTTCTCCTAGTTTAAAAAGACAGCATAGCCATTGCATTAAAATTTGTAAACTTTGCATTAAAATTTGTAAACAAAGAAGCTAGGCAACTTTTTTTTTTTTAATTTCTGGTTAGTGGATTCTCTTTCTCTAATTTTGCAGGTACTCTGAGTATGGGCAGGCCAGCTAGGAGACTGAGCAAAGCCATTGCTCCAGATAGCAAACAAGTGCATCTCATTCCCAGTGACATCACTGTGGAGATGCAAAAGAGGAGCACCAAATTCTGAGACTTGCTGCAGGTACAACAGGAACAAGGGATAAGAAACTGACAATTTAATGACATGAGAAAAAATGAGGAAAGAAAGCACTTGTTAGAAGGGTAATAAATAGTTTCCAGTGTCTAAAGTTTATGTGCAGATCTAGATTCTATAAAGACTAATGACAAGGTCCCTGAGCAATAGCCTGTATAGTATAGCACATAAAAATTACGACAGTGCATTTATAGGCTTTATTTTCACAGATTTCACTTTAGCTTTACTTTGCACTTGACATGCCAAACTGTACTAGTTAGTTAAAAGACATTTTTTGTTAGCTGACAGAAGGTTTGATAACATTGTTCTTAAGCATTTCTAATACTAATAATTATTAAACATTTCTAATATTAATAAAGTTGTTTGTTTAGACACTGGTTGTCCACTTAGTCATAAAGAAATGTCTATTATGCCAGAATGTTTTAAAGAAGAGTAGAGCAAACAATCTGTAAGATCAGATATAACAGCATCCTGCACTCACAGAAAAGTACACACCAAGATTTATATTTAATTTGACATGTAATTAAAAAAAGCAATCAACCCTTATCCCATGCAATCCATACAATTAGTAATCAGTCTGTCACTATACAACTGTACAAACTTAGAGTGACCTAACCTAAAGCTTCTTAAAGAATAAGCACCACAGGCCTCTATAAAGCTTCACAATGTATGTGCATGGTATGTTCCAGAGCATTTTTCTAGGCAAAAACTCCAGCCTATATATTAGCAATATATTGCTCCATAAAATGGTTGCATCTGAATAGTTATTATCTGTCTAATTTTAGTCTTCCTAATTTCTTGTGAAAGGTATGGATGCTTCCCAGAAGTGCGTGTCAGCTCAAAACAACTACTAGCGAAAGTTTACAGGATCCAAACTTTGCCAGAATCCTCACATGAAGTATGTCACAAACTTGCTTAAACTGCGTGTAGTATACAAGGTGCTGTTGTCTTGCCTTCCAAATGCATCTTCTACTTCAGCGGTGGCTAAGAACATAGCTGAGTCTTCTGTGCAGGCCCCACATTGTCTGGGACTTGCTTCTAAAACAATGCCAGGAGAAGGTAAATGAGGCTTACTCAAGTGTGTTAACAACTCCTAATCCATTACAAGCAATGTCACTGGTTCTGAATAAGGTGCCAGTTTGTCCAGTGTCTTGCCAATGCCTGCCACTGTTCAGTAGTGGTTTTGACATAGGTGTGACCAAATTCATCAAGACTTTCAGAATTATATATAATGTAGACTTTAAATCTTTTCAGAGGACAAATTATGGGCCCAGCTCTTCTGTGGTGGAGTACTCCCTATGCTAGGATATGAAGGCAAGCCTTATGTGAGAAGAGACAGCCATATCCTTTTGGGAGTAATCAAGTTCATGTGATGAGAGGAATGCAATTATTTTGCATATAATAAATACATTAAATATTTAATGATTTGAAGCACAAGTGGAAAGAAGAAGAATGTAATTTTTGTGTTATGTTTTCTTGACCATACACATTGATCTGAAAGTATCTGGAGCTAGATTCTGAGTTTCTACTTCATGTAAAACAGGAGTTGTAAACCTGTTGAGCAGGCACATTTAATTGTTACTGAAGGACTCTGAAACAGGTGAACTTGATCCTTCATATTTTACAGAGGGAACATTTTCATGAAGGGTAATATTAACTAGTTCTCTTATTCCTTTTAATCTTATATGTTACAACGATGCAAACTTTTAATTTCTACTGCCAGAAAAAGAGAAAGCACCAAACAAAACCAAATGCTGTGTAAGCAAAACACTCTAGTGCGTGTGCTTTATGTCCCTCCCTTGGAAGAGACAGATACCAAGACACAGAGTCAGTGATGGTAACATTACTCAGTCGGGTCTGGTGCAGCTACAGAAAGGTGACAAGAGTTACTCAGTCCCATGGTTGTGTCCTAGAGCAGGGTCATGCCTGCCACGCTAGCCTGTGCTACCCAAGGACAGGGAGGTTGAGTGGGAAGGGACTGAAGTCTCTTAAAGCTCACTCTGCTCTTGAATACACACTTTCCTTAGTGCATTCCTGGCAAATTTTTAGGTACTATAGAAACAAGTGAGTTACACTAAAATACCTTGCAAATCTTTCATTATTAAAACCTCATGGAAGTAAGTGTATAATACTAACATCAAAATAGGAGCCCTTGACCTGTGTTTTGCACTCACCTAGCAGGGGTGTATATGACTAAATAAAACACAAGACACTGGAAAAGCAGGCTTAGTGTGTATATATCCATATTTTATCTCTTTGCACCCCTATCTCCTCCTTTTCATTTTGAATAATGACCAGGGCTAGGCTGAATCTGAATGGGAAATCCACGTTCCAAAGAAGCAATACAATATTATAATTTAAAAATCAGTTTGTTAAGAGTTGAAAGCTGAAGGGACATTAGACAGAAACAGCCTGGAGAGAGTCAAAGAGAGAGGCTGTCTTTAACATGAGAAAGGATTTAGGAACTTTCTTCTTAACGTCTATGTTCTATGCAGTCTTGCAGAAGTAGTCTTTAGAGAATAAACTTTTCCTCCAGTGGTAAGAGCAGCCATGTACTTCTAGGAATTTGTGCTGAATAGGGATTCAGCTATCAGACAGTGCAAGGTGCATATGAGAGTTCAGACACAGTGTAAAGCTTGTTCAGGACTATCTCCTGTCAAAAATCAGAATAGCCTGTTTTCTCTGTTCCAGTGCTGTTACTGGCTGCAAAGAGGTGAAAAATACAAACATTTCTACATTGCACATGAGTGTATCTCCAGTGGTGCAGATATACTGCCAGTCCACCATCGTTTTTACGGAGGGGTATTACAGCGTCTTTTGCCTTGAGTAAATTAGTTTTTGTGTAAACCATAAAGGTTCAAAGTCATGCACGCCAGTGTTATGAATAAGTGACATTTGTGTTGTCTGGAGATGTTGCTCAGAGAACCATTATACTACAGTAAGCTCAGTCCATGAAAGTATTTATCAGGCAGATTTCGAACAAACCTGAACTCTTTATTTGTGCCTATAATAAAGTAATTAAAAATCAATTAATATGCAGAAAAAATGAAGTAATATTAGGCTGTGGTTCTACATTAAGTAATATAAAATCTGTGCATACCGGATTTCCTGGCAGTAAAATTTTGATCTGTATTGGCATGAGCACACGACCGCATTTTTATCGAATCAGCCAGAGCATATGTTACAGTGTTTATGCAGATTTTATGCCAGCTTTCTGTCAATTGAGAAGGATAAATTATGCCTGATCCAACATAAAGTTAGAGTGGTACAAACAGACAATATCTCATATGATGGGAACTCTCCTGGGATGAAATTATTTCTTCAAGCTATTGACTATCTCACAGAATGATAGCCTACCACCCTAATATGCTGTAAACCCTATGTAGTCCTTAGACAAATCTTTTTCGAGTCAGAGCATGTCTATATCTGATTAGCTGTAAATAGACTGACAACTTTTTCCTCACAGGGAAAGAAGGGGAGAGTCACAAATTCAAATTATATTACCTACCTTAGGCAAATACAGAAATGTTTCAGAATATGATTTGTATATGAATCTCAAGTGTACTCACGTAAATATAAATGATGAGATGGGGAAAAACTGAGTTGTAATGATAATCAGGAACATAATTCTTGAAATTATGGTGTTAGGTTTGGGCCCATATTATGGAAGAAAAAGGATTTGATTTTCTGCTTCCCTCCGTGTTTCTTCTTTTAAATATGCAGCTTCTGTGTCATATTATGGATCCCTGGCATTTCATTCTGAAGATGAATTGTCATGAAACTAGTTATTGGAGGTGAAGATAGAAAACAAGAACATTACAGCGTGAACCAGGTGATTTTTGAGATTTCCTAAATCGAAGAGCCAAATCCATCAGTAGGTGCATACAGGTTTGACTATTAAGATTTTACTGGAATTTTGTTAATTGTCATTTAAATCCCATTAGAATTTATTAATTTACTTCTGTCACTGTAGAATTGTCTGTCTTTGGTATTGTAAGCAACTGAAACTCAACATTCAATGACAGTACTGCTTAATGTTGTTTAGGCAACCCTGGCTACCCATTTCTGCACCTGCACTGCAGTTGTTACTAGGCTAGCACAGCATTTTTTTTGGCTGCAGAGTGGATTAGCCCATGGAACTGATTTAAATGAAGAATAGCAGGGATTATGAAAGCTGACACTGACACTGATTTTTTTTTTTTTTTTCCCTCCAAACTACATAGTGTATGAAAACAAATGGAGCTGGGTACTTACAGCAAACCTGGCAAAAGGGTATGGTGGTGTGGCATAAACTGAAAGGATTGTTCCTGACAAACTCAAGGTAAGAGCATGCCTGTACCTCCATTCCAGGCAGTAAGTTAAAGTAGAAACAGGTATCCTGATGTAGATGCAGTTATATGAATCAGAAATGCTTTTGAAAAGTACAGCATGTACTAGGGGCTGTTAAGTCAGCTTTGTTCTGGTATGACTACATCTATACCAATTGTGCCGGTATGACAACATTAACAAAAATGTTCTCCTAACTGACAGAGTTACACTAGTAAAACTTTTACAGGTACAAGATCCTTAAAAATTGGAATAATCAATAAATAGCACACCCATCTAATGTAAACACTGCACACCCCAAACTCAACAAGAATTCCTATTATGAAGATCTTAGGAATTTGTAGAGCTATAATTCTGCTATGGTAGCACTTTGGGAGAACACTGAAGCTCCTTTTTGAAAGTTGAAGAGCCATTCCATTTTCTTGATACATTCCAGTAAACTTCGCAAAATCATCCTTGGCACAGCTGAAGCTTCTTTTAGCATTCTTCTACTACTATTTCTTCTACCACTACAACCTCTTAAAAGCTTGTTTGTTCTCAGAATGGGACCAGATTGTCTTTGAAGATTGGTGTGTTCAGTACAGTTTCCTGTGGAAGAATAACCTAGACTCTTGGCAGCATACCACTATTCAATTCATACAAAGCACCCACATCATCTACTCTAGGCTCAGGCTTGGGCTCTTGACCATTCGAATGTAATCTGTACTAGCAGTGCTATTTTAGCTGCAATCACATTACATTATATGCAAATACTAAACGTATACAAGAAGAAAACTTAAAACATGCTTTGGGGTTGAATTTTGCAAAAAGTGATGCTTTGTAAAAGTTCATGAATAAAAAAACGTTTCCAAGAGAAAGTTCATTAAATATACTAAGTTCAGTTCTGATGATACATAGCAGTTTGCTACATACGTAGATACTTAATCCAAAATGTGATTTGTGTATTTGACTTCCATCTGCAAGAGAAACAACAGCCAGCCTATGTGTGATTACAGCTGGGACCAGTGAACAGGTCCAGCTACTGAGCAGCAGATGTTATAGAAGTATTCTATTATATATAGGCTGTTCTGGATGCTCAGAGACTCAGGAATGACCACAAATCCTAAAGCAAACTACTGAAGACTATTGGGTATGGTTGGCCCAGATACTGCAAGGAGGATCTGGTCTCCTTGAATGATAGGGCCTATTAATTTGTGGTGAACCAGGTGGGAACGAGAGTGATACAAGAAAAACATGATTTCTCCTGATGCAATTTCTTAAAAAATAATGGCAAATTTGTGTAGTACCTTTAACTATTAAAATCATCATTCATTTCCTCTTATACTGTTACTTCATTATAATACTCATGTAACTATACCTACATAGGAAATTATTTTATATTCCCCCACCTGCCATGCACATAGCTTCCACACTTGTGTAAACAACCTGCTTTTGGTTGCCACACTGAAGTCACAGTGGTTGGATTCAATGTTAAAATGTTATTTTTACAGCAAGGTTTACTGTATGTACACACATCTAGGAGACATCTAGCTCTCCTTTGTGCTTCCCATAAGTGTTGTGCTGAGGTCCTAAGTCTTCTCACTCTATGGGAGAGGCAAAAAGAACAGGAAAGACTGGAATTCAGACTTTTTGTGGGAACTTGTGAATTGAGCTGGGTCACAGTCAGGCTTCAGGGAACATCATATTAGAGCAAAAGACGTGGATATCTCCAAAAAGAAGATAATTGATACATGCTGTGCCTTTAGCAGTATTCAAACTAAATAGGATATTTTAAAAAGACATTGACAACTCACTCTTCTGCTTTGAACATGGATAATGTGGAAGAGAATAGTGTGGTGTGGCTGAGGAATGCTTGTATAACCATGTCTCCAAGGGATCTTTGGTATACAGAAATCTGATCCCTCAAGTAGGTAAGTAGTTCTGTATTCCTCCTCCTTCCTGCTTATCTTCCTCCCAGTGACCCTATTGGTGGCTGGTCTTCTGCCAAAGAAATACTCTGGCTGTAAACTGCACAGTAAAAGAGTTTGTTAAGAATCATTGCTCTTACCATTGTAAGGTACTGGTGTAAATGTGATGTGTACACATAGTATTTATTTTCATTTCTGTAATTTTTTAACATGTTTTCTGATGTGAATTAGCTTATGTGAGTGCTCCTCACCTCTACTTAATTTACTATCATCCTTACGTGCTCCAAATGACAGTTTCTTTTCCAGTAGTAAGCCAGGAAGCCACAAACTTTTTTCCCTCTTTCATTCAAAGTTCTCACTTCAGCCCTCTAGGCAACTGCCAGTTCTTACCACAAGTGATGACCCCTAAGAGACAGCTGATTTGCCAGTAGTTTCTGCAGTGAACTAGCCACTGTTCTTTATACTTCCATGCCAGCCTCCAGAGAACACGCCCTGTCATCAGAATGTGTATGAATAAGAACATTTTGATCACACAAGAAATAATTCATCATTGTACAGTAATGTCTATAAAACCTTACCCAACGCATTTTTTTTAATCAGTAAAATCCTAATGAACCTTTTTTAGATATAAATCTTTTTTAAAAAAAACCCTTGCATTGCACTAGTAAGGCAGAATGCACAGAAACATTTTGCATGACACAATTTATAATTATATACAATTATTATAATTCTTATGCTGTTAACTCCCAGTGTGGTTAAATCTCACTGTACAGCAATAAAATGACACACCTAATTTAGGATTTGCCCACAGATGATAGAAAAAGAAAATCCACAAACAAAAAAATGCTTGAATAGGTTCTAATGCAAGGCAAAACCACTTTCTGATTTCTTGTGGAGGTCTCAAGACCTATCTCAAGAAAATTAGTATAATAATGTTCTTGTAAACAAGGTTTTTTTTTTTCCTTTCGGGAATATAAATCAAGGCCTTATACCTATCACAAGGCTTTAACCCTCTAAATGATTCCTGAATTACACTTAGTTATGGCCTTGTTTTCCCTGTGTCAAAGCTTCACATGAGCTCTGTAGTATTACAAGTAATATAAAGATTGAGAATATGCCCTGTGCCACAAACAAGTCCCCTTTTCCCTCACTGCTTTGATGCAACTACTAACAGCATCAGACCTATGGACATTTCCTTGATTTCCAAAGTATATGAAATAAGAGGTGGGAAAAGAGATCCACAATCTGGAAAGAGACTCAAAAACCCAAAATCAACACTTTCTTTACTACTATAAAAACTGAAAATTGAACAGTAACTCTTCACCTTTCCGGTTTTACTTCTAGACTTAGCTTCTCAAACCCACCCATATTATCTAGTATTTACATGGCAAATTTAAGTAGGGAATTAAATTTTTTTTAAAAAAGGAAATTTTTTTTGTGACCTTATGAAACACATTAAGAAAGGAGAAGGTTGAGAGAGAAAGAACGAAGACCTTGGGGAAATGGATAAGTGGTAGAAGGATAGGCTGAGGGTTTGCTTGGACTGCTGTTTGGGCTTAATCCTGAGCGTTATCCAGTTTAAACCATGGTGCTTTTTGCGCTTATAACTTATCAGTCATGGACATGGTGCTCCTTGGTCATAAAATCACAGAATAATTTAGTTTGAAGGGATCCTGGAGGTCACTTGTTCTGACCTCGGTTCAGAGAAGGGCCATTTGAGATCAGGTTGATCAAAGCCTTGTCCTGCCGAATTCTGAACATCTCCAAGTGTGTTGGGTTTGTGTGTGGCAGGTTTTTTGGTATCAGAGGAGGGGGATACAGAGGTGGCTCCTGTGAGAAGCTTCTTGAAGCTCCCCCAACTCCCAAGTCAGACCCGCCTCTGGCCAAGGCTGAGCCAAATAGCAACAGCGGCTGCGCCTCTGTGATAACATATTTAAGAAGGGGAACCTGGCAGGAGGAGGAGTTGTGAGGGAGATACCTATGCCAACACCAAGGTCACTTGAAGAAAGGAGGAGAAGGGGGAGGTATGCCAGAGCACAGAGTCCCCTGCAGCCCATGGTGAGAGCGCAGGCTGTGCCCCTGCACCCATGGAGGAGGTCACTGGTGGAGTAGATGCCTGGCTGCAACCCATGGATGACCCCATGCTGGAGCAGGGGGCTGCACCTAAGGAAGGCCGGGACTCTGTTGCTGGGAGGACTGCAGCCCACAGGAGGGACCCACACTGGAGCAGTCTGTGAAGAGCTGCAGCCTGTGGGAAGGACCCACACTGGAGAAGTTCATGGAGGACTGTCTCCTGTGGGATGGACCCCATGCTGGAACAGGGGAAGAGTGTGAGGAGTCCTCCCCCTGAGGAAGAAGGAGCAGCAGAGACAGTGTGTGATGAACTGACTACAACCACCATCCCCTGCCCTCCTACACTGCTGGGAGGGGAGGAGGTAGAGAAATTGGGAGTAAAGCCGAACGCATGAAGAAGGGAGGGTGGGGGGAAGGTGTTTTAAAGATATGGTTGTATTTCTCACTGTCCTACTCTGTTTTACTGGCAAATTAGTGGTGGTAGTGTTCAAATTAAATTGATGTTCTTTTTCTTCCCCAGTTGAGTTTGTATTTTGCTCGTGACCAAAACTGGTGACTCACCGCTCTCTGTCCTGATCTTGATCCCTCAGCCTTTTGCTTTATTTTCTCCTCCCCATCCCTGAGGGGGAAGGAGTGAGCAAGCTGCTGCATGGTGCTCAGTTGCCCTCTGGGCTTAAACAAGGATATCAAGGATGGAGAGTCAGTAGACACCCTTGGACAACCTGCTCCAGTGTTTGACTACTCTTGTTATGATTTTTTTTTTTTTTCACAATAGCTGTTCTATCTGTCCTACAGTCTGTCTATCCTACTATCTAATCCATGACCAGGAGCGTTCTAGGAACTAATTTTGTCTCTTCTTCAGAATCTGCTATTCTTCCAGTCTTGGACTCTGATGTTAGGGGAGCACAAAGGGCAGGAAGTTACGAGTCAGGACACCATAGAGTTAGTTTGGGAAGCCTTCTGGTTCTTAACAGCCAGACATGGTCTTAGCACAGCTCCCATGAGGAAGTGAGCTGAGGAGTATCTTCTGCTGTAGTTAGTCAGGAGGGTCAAGGTTTGCACGTGTACTTCAGTGGAACCCAAATCTGATATGTTTTACTTTTGTTTTCCCTTAGGCTGGTGGTTTGCAATCAGGTGCTAAGAACACTGCTGTTTCTCCAATCCCTGCTCAGCTCCCAGAAGGGCAGGCAAATTCCCTCATGAACACTGGGAAAAGACAACTGGTGCCTCAGTTTACTGCAGTATATAAAGTCATGGACTGTAGCCCTGGAGCTGGCCAATGCACATGCAGGTACGTGGTGCCAAGACGGACACAGTAAAGGTATTGTTCCATGCACAGTTTTCCCAGCAGCCTGTTTTAAGGCGTTCCCAGGACCCACTTCAGCTACCAGCTGTTTGTTTCTGACACCCTTTCAGCTGTGCCAACACAGCTGTTTATCTGTATGTTTGGGAAGTGAATCATGAGACTAATTCAGGTTAAACTGCCTAGCAATGCTTTTTTTTCCTGATTGTTTAATACCTGTTTAATTCCCTGGGCCTGATTTGCAGTGTGGCCTTACAGACAGTTGTGTTGGTAAAAGTCATATGGCTGTCAAGAGAACAGGACAGGCAGGAAGGAAGCAAAAATTGTTGGAAGTACCTTAAGTCACTATTGCTGCCAAAGGCAATATATCTTCAGACTTACAGCTTTGTGGTGCTGCTGACAGCAGAGCTAAGCTGTTGCTGTTGCTCAGAGTCCAGTGTCCATCTTATAGTCAACCTCAGCAATGTTGACACATCCATAGGTATACTCATATCAGTTTGCTCATCAGCAGTGATAAGCTAAAGGTTAAATTAAAAGAACATAGTTGCCAACTCTGCACTATGGATACCTACTAACTTGAAGCCTAATAATCTTGCAACATCTTCTGTCAATTCTCATGGTCTCCACAGTTCAGTAGAAAATAGTTTCCAGGGTGGCATTGAATGAGGTGCAGTTTTACTGTACACTTAATACAGAGCAACCACGGGCAGCCAGTGGAAAGGGCCAATTCTACCCATCCCCCAAACCTGTGTACATCAAGTGCTGGCATCTCTTCTCTTGCATCAGATCCAATGGTCATGCAGTGGGAGTTCCCCTTGAGAATCTGATGGATAACATTTTTTTGGGGGGTGGGAACACTGGCCTAAATTGAAGGGATTAGGAAAAGCAGAAATAATGGGCTAATTCTTAAGTGAGGATGTAGCTACAGAAACACTCAGAAAAGAATCCCTCATAACCTTGTGAAGTTTTTTAGAAGGAATTCCTTGCTCTTTGCAAACCTAGTGCTGCTGAATTTGCAAAGCAACACTCTTTGGAGTTGTGGAATAGAATCTGAATTAACAGTGTATTTAAAACTGAATTCTCATTTAAATTTTTATGTTAATTTTAGTCTGCCACTGATGTCACACAAGTGTACAGCAGGAATCATTTTACTGAAATCACAGGCACTGCTGTGTCCCTTGTGAAGTAATTTCTACCTGTGTAAAATACATATGAAATGTTACTAAATCAAGTCAGCATTTTATGTCCACTTGACACTTGTATTGCAGTGATGTAAATTACTGCAATATGAGGCATCAGTGAATAAAATTGCTCTAGAATAAAAGTCTTGTGTCAAATCTGATCCCATATAAGTGTTTTGAACTGTTGTTTTAATGGAACATTGCAAAATTGAATAATCATTAGTAGTCCTGCCAACGCTTTAGCATTTAAAAGGTCCTATTTTCCATTTCCCCATAGTCCCTTTATGCTACTCCATTAGTTTAAAAAGGCCATAAAGAGAGCACATTTAGCCACTTGGGAATATTTTCATTTCTGTGTTGCTCTTGCCTTTGGCATAGTAGATATGTTAGGTTGTGACTGAGGAGAAAGGGTCATGGCTGGCCCGCCTCTCTGTTCCAGCTATTCTTGGTTGCTGGAACAGCTCCTAGGGGTCCCAGGCTGCCAATTGTACTAAAATTGCTGGTAGCCTTAAGACTATTCAAGGAGTAATTAGCTACCAAATGTGGGTAATTGTGACAGAGTCTAGCTAATACTGCTTGTGTCTGAACAGACTAATTAAAGGCTGCACACATGAGGAGAAAGAAACCCTCCTCTTTTAAGGAAACAAATTATTAAGAGAGAAAATTTGATCTAGTATTAAAAAAAATGTCTGTTCCTTCTAGTAGGATCCTTGCAGGTTTTGATAATTAAAATTGGAAGATGAAGAACAAATACAGATTTTAAATCCTTTCACTATGGTACCCTTCATACTCTGCTTTTGATTTCTTAAAAATCATTATATATTTTTTACAGAAAGGTTGTTTAGTGAAAGGACATTTAAAAATTGTTCTTTGTCTATGAAAAATCAGGCTTTCTATTTCTGCTATCAGAGACATCTCTAATTTAAAGAAGTCCAGTTGGAGATACAACATCACGGGTATGTAAGTTCTGTTTGTCCCTCTGAACAAAATGAGATAGGGAATAATCTTCTGCTGGTCTGACAAGACTACAGGCCTCCATGCATCGGTATAGCTATGTTTGACATAATTTGTACCTGTGCTCTTCCCTTCTGCTGCTCCTTACAATCACTTGTGAGTAGTTCCATTCCACCCCATTTAGGTAATGTGTGTCTTCAGTGGTACTTAGATATTTGCTAATGGGATCATAAAATCTCGCATCTCAGCTAAATTTTCTATGCTTCTAGCTGTGCTGCAGAAAACAGCAGATTTCTTAACTGCAGGAGTCCCATAGATAGCTGATTATATCTACTTCTTTCTCTAGTCTGAAGTAGATCACAATTAGAAGAGAAGAACCAGAATGAGGCCCTTGCAAGAGCAGCAGATTCAGAAGAAAGCAGCCTACTTTACTTCCTCCTGCCCAGCTAAAACAGTTTTTTAAAACACTTCATTTTATTGTAAGATGCTGCAGTATCGTTAATACCCTCTCAGCTGTTCTTAGGGTGCTGTAGCACTTCCCAGCCACCAGCCAGCTGCCTGGCCACCCTCAGAAGTCTCTGTTTCTTTCTCAGACTTAGACCTGTAAAACATCTCTCTGATATGGCAAACAACTTGCAGTGTCCTGCCTTGTGCTTTAGCCACAACTGCTAAATTTGGGGTGTTCTTTGTTTGTCTTTCTCCTTCAATCATGATGGATTGGCTGTAAACCCAAATTTAAGATGTAGTACTCTGAAATACACAAATTATCTCATTAAATACAGCAGAACTGCATCAGCCTTGGTAGCTCTTAATGGCTATAATCAGTGACCAAATGTGGAGTCCCAAGCTGTCCATTAATGCTAACTTTGCTAAGGCACAGGTAGAAAAGCTGTACTTCTATAGAAAGCAAGCCAGGTCCTCTTCTATCTGCAAAGGGGAACAAGCCATGCTGTCTTGGTCTGTCCAGAGAGCAGAGAACAGTGAACTGGCCCACGTATGCAAACACTCTGCAAAGTTCAAATCTGATTGAATTCCAGACATTTTACAACCAGGAATACAGGTGTTACCTTATTATGGCAGCTGCAATTCCTTTTTTATAGACTGCTTCAAAGAGCAGCTCATATAGCCTAGTCTCCCTCTTTAAATATCTTACTCTATGTTGTGAAAGTGGATTAGAAATAACATATTGCAACTGTACTTCATTCTCCAAAACAAAAGGAAAACAAAGCTCTGTTATTGAATACAGCCTTTAACTAGGACAGGCAGTTTATGATTTCAATACAAATCTGGTGATCAGCAGACTCTGTGGTTAATGCTTGCTCTTTTCTTCTGTATCCTGTCTATCAGTTTGCACTTGGGAATTCATGTAAGTGAGATGTTCTGCACTGATGTAAGAGCTCCCATGGAAATGTGAGGACATGGTAGCTGATTCTCCTGCTCTTTGAACTGAGAATTTGGATGACCTGACTAGCAACTCATAAAAAGACTCTTAGGTAAAGAGTAGCAGTGATACTGGTTTAGCAGGATGGTCCAATCTGAAATAGTCTTCATGTTGCTTTAACTGGTTTTAAGGCCGAGGATAAAAGTTCTGTGCATGATGTATGTGGAAGGATGTCAGAAGGCCCATGACACAGGCTTTCAAGAAGTCTCCTTGTTTACAGTCTTTATAACAGCAATACATTTTTTGTGCTCCTTGGCATTAACAACAGGAAGCATCTTAAAACTGAAAGGCAATCATTGCAGCCCAAAAGAGGGGTAAGAAGTAGAAATTGCTCTATTAGCCTCATTGCTCTTTTTTATGGTTGAGGAAAGAAGAACCCAAAAATAGGAACAGTGATGTTTGTACCTTTTCAAATAGTCTGACGGTGCTATGGCATGCACCTCTGCTGTTTGACCTGGAGGCATTCTGGCTGAGACAGTGAAAATACAGTCATATAAGGTACATTTTGGAAATACCTGTCATTGTTCATCATTATTGACATAACTTTGCATAGATGGAAGTAAGGACTTCTGTGTGAGTACTAGCTTGCAGTAGAAACTGCAGGCTTGATAAAGTCAAGTAATGGGTGACACATTCAGCTTCCATCTGGATGCATGAAAAAAGACCAGACTCTTAAAGTTTTATAAGATCAATCTGTGGTTTGGGTTGGGTTTTTTTGTTTTGTTTTCTTTTTAATTGACAGTAATTAGCAGCTTATATGTAAGAAAGCTAAATCTTTTTTTTTCTCCATACATTCAGATGCAGAGCTGTGTTTCCCATACCTACAATTGGTCATCAGGTCATTAATATGCGTTCTTTCTTTATTTCTTTTTACATTAAAGGATTAGTGTCATGTCTTCTATCCTGCCTGATGAGCCTGATACTCCCTTTTGTCTTCAAGTGACACAACTTCAAGTACCACAAGTGCCTTGACCGTGTACTTTACTCCAGCCCTCATCCAAGAGCAAAATGTTAGCCTGATGACCAGAGCACACCTCAGATAGATAGATAGGTAGGTAGGTAGATAGATAGATAGATAGATAGATAGATAGATAGATAGACAGATAAAGTGTTTCACTGCATTTGGGCAAAGAAGGACTTGGGCCAGATTTCCCACCTCTGACCAAGGACTAATACCATTTTGTAAATCGGAGTGTTACTAGCATGGTGTTCTGCCCTGCTAGATCATGTTAGCAGCGGACAATGATCTGTCCTGACTTCCTTCTGGAAATTCTGTGTGGTGACACACAAGTAGATGGAAGAGAGCACCTGCAGCCCCACATTGAGATTTCCCTCTTGACCCACTGTAGACAAGTATTTCCTAAGACAGTGGGTTCAGGCAGCTTCCTAATCAGCTTACTAGTTGCTTTGGATTTCGTTTTGAGGCATGTGGGCATCTACTATTTCAGGAGCTTAAGCATGAAAATGGATCTCTGGGTTCCAGACTCACTCACATCTCATTAATATTTAACCTAGATTCTACCTAAGACCTCTGTACAAATTGTCACTGAGTTTACTGCTGTGTTCTCTGAGCTGGCCAGATGTAAGGTAGTTCAGGGGTGTTCAGGGAACTGCATGGCTATGTGATGCCATAGTGGTGTTTTATGGCATAGTGCCCTGGCAAGAGCAGAAACTTACAGCCAGAGATGGAGTAGATGGCAGGACAGCTGCTTTCCACGACCGTGCAGACTTAGAGTGACTTAAGCTGCTTGTGAAACCACAGTTACAGTCTTTAGGTATTTCTAGGAAGAAGCATTCTTCTATTTTTAGAGCAAATGACATTGCTACTCCAGTTTATCTAAGGAGTGCTGCTACACAATACTGCTATATTTAGAAATCACTGAACTCCCTAATGGAAGAACAACACACAACAAAAAAGATCACAGTATGCTTTTCCATTCTATTAGTACTACAAGTTTTATAATTTATGCTAGATCCACTACAGTCCTTTTTAAGTACCACACACATGAATGTACATCTTCCCTATGTAATTGTGGCATCCATTTCCATCAGTCCTTGTCTCAAGTGTACGTATAAAGACTGCTCAGCTGATTTTCAGAGTCTTCATTAGCTCTGAGGTCACCCAGAGGCTCTGAATCATGGATAAGGAAAATGCATAGTGGTACATTAAATTAGTAGGCATATTGGTACATACCAAAGCATATTGGTGCATGAAATTAATACCCTGCATTGTCCTACGCACTCCTCTTGAAGGAATCCATTCCCTCATTGGGATTGGATTGGATGACTAATAAGGGTGGATTTGTGGCATGCAGTCTGCACTTTAGCAAGCAGTGAAAGACTCACATTTCTGAGTGAAAAGTACACTGTGTAATACGCTTTCATATCTCACAACTCATTTTCGTAAGTTTAAATAAAGAACTGATTCATAAAAAGGCATGCCTCATTATAAAGCAGTGAGGATCAAAGTCAGGCATGGGTAGCTGGGACACGGTACAAGGAGTCTTAAAGCACTGAAGACTAGCAAAATAGGGGTAGGGTTACCTCTGGGTCAGGACTTGCTTTGTTGAGCATATCTACAAACTGAATTGGTCAGCTCTGGATACACATTGGCTAACAGGGAGAGAAGTCTGTGGTTACCAATTTCTGGCTTTAGGATTTGATTATACATAAATAAAAGCAGATGTTCTCCAGGATAGAAGGCTTACCATTTTTTTTCTTCTGTTGTTCGGGAATTGCAAATTATTATTTTTCTTTCAAATTCCTTCTTCTGTCATATTTGCATGGATATCTGCTTTTAACGAGCAAAGGGTCTATATGTGGTGTCAGAAATTAAACCCTGAATTGAGTAGAAATAGGTTACAGAACATGTGGAAACATGTATTGATAGTCTTTATGCCTTTAAAAAGCTAACCTGAAATCAACACTGAAATGTCAGGAGATAAGAAATACCTATCAGCATGAGTACATGTAAGCACTTTGGATATGCAGAAAATAATTTGGCATGAGGTTTAGACATTTCAAATGTTGGGGTTGAGCAATGTGAGTACTGTAATCTTGTTACTTCTTCAGAATGGCACACACAAATGCCCCAAAAGGAATCAAAGCCAATTTTCTAAATTTTAAGATATGCTACTAAAATTCTTGTGTGTCAAAGAAAGTACATGATGTTAATTAAGTGAGGGGAATTCATACTGAATGTCATATGTCACCCACACTTGCAGCGTTCCAAGCTGTGCCTAGCCTGTGCTGTGACATAATATACGCAGTGACATTGCACAGAACAGGTGGGAATCCACAGGCCTCAACACAGACAAACCAGGCAGTCTTGGCAACAGTTTTTCTGATATTTGTCATTTGGCTGTAATAGGACAGATTTGCTATTACGCTTTCAGGTGTACAGTAACAGGAACAGATTGGTTACTAATTTGAATGATTTTAGTAGTGCATCCAACACAAATAAAGCAATTTACCAAACAATCTGTGAGTGAAAAGATTCAGAGCTTTGCATCAGCTTTGTCATTTGTGGATGTAGCAACTAATTGCTTGACAGAGCTTTAATTAAAAGCAACGTTCTAGGTATAGATATTGACTTCATATTTCCTAACTAAAGTAGATTGAAAAGTTTGAGATAGTGATAGAATAATGAGATTATCCTGCAATTATTTGGGTTTGGAACTTTAGACAAATATTCATAGGAATAAACAGTTTCATATTCCATGGTTCATCTAGAATAATAAATTACTTGGATTTTCTGTCTGAAGGAGGACCACTCCCAAACTGAGCATGTGTCTTTAAGTAGATTGAATTGTAACATGTAATTTAGGAGCACTTTAAAATCTAATTCATGTGAACCAGTCTACCATTATATATGCAATATCATATGTGTGTCTGAGGCTTGATAGACCAGTAAGGTAAATGATTCACTTGATTTGCTTATTTAGGTGGTTAGATTAGTGGTACTAGTAATTCCATAGGCTGTGTCTGTATTGCCATCTGTAATATGAGGATGCTGTCCCACCCAGTTTACTGTCCCAGTTTGAAGGTGGTAGCTGATGGTACCCCCTACCCTGGAAGGAAGTCTGTGACCTAATCTCTGTATGGTGGAAGATTCCCAATGCAGCAGTTTAGCAAAGGCTTCCTAAATCAGCACTGGTATGAGAAGACTGCTGTTCAGTTGGTCTGGCGTGATTAAAAGCAGACCAACACCTAGTTCCAGAACAAGGTCAGGAAATTAAAGGAGGACAGAACAAGCCAAGAATAGCAAGTCGTGCTCAGGGGCTTCGCAGGGGGAGGCATTCTTGGCTGAGGTATGATGTTTTCCAGGAGGATTTTCACAAGGAGGCACACACCTGTGACATGATACTGTATGTTGTGGGGAGAACAGGGAGGGGATCTCATTGCCTAGTGCGAGGTACAGGAGAACCTGATATGTCACAGTTTTGCTTTTAGGCAATGATATGTGTCAGGCAGTGTCTAGAGTTGCCAGCCCCATTCCTAGTCTCTGACTCAGTCATTCAAAATTCCTGTAGCCTGACTTCATTCCTGCGAGATCACTGTTTTTGTAATTGTCAGAGAGGTTGGGCGGGAAGCCGGGAAGCAGGGAGGGAGAGAGAGGAGCCTTCAGCCTGCAGTGCCAACTGCAGGGCTTCTCTGCCAGATGGTATTCCCCCATCCTGAGGTCAGGACAGCATATGGCATTCAGGAGCCCTGGCATGCCAGAGACACTTTGCACTCGTTTCAGTCCAGTGAGGGGCTCCATGATTATTGTAACTGTAAGAGGTGTCATTCCATCCTATTCCATGGCCTGTGTTATCATCAATTCATTGATATCAGCTCCTGACTTAGAATGGTGACAAAGTACATCCATAACTTTAAATGTGGCTGCTAAGTTAGTTTGTTTTGGGCCCTATATCTGGCTTTGTTTGCTTTTCTAAAAAAATAACAGCTATTTACAGAATATGGTAGAAAGCAGGAAAACACTTATGAGATCCAGAGTGATTTTTCTGCAGGTGTCATTTTATGCACAGAATTGCTGTTGTACATGATTAAGAAGTGAATTAGGATGGGGAAGAGGTTGTTAGCTGAGACATGTCTATAGTGTCCTTTCATGTTTTGTTCCAGAAGAGGACTGAAAGCAATAGACAGTAGCACTGAACCTGACCCAGCCTTCCTTCCCTGCTCACATGCTTTTTTTAACTGTATCTCATTCATCCTGGCTATAATAGGTACCCAGTAAGACTATCCTGTGCAATTAAATAAAGAGTCAGAGGACATTCACTCACTACACAGACTCTGCATATGACCTTCACAGTACAAGGACAAAAGAAATTCAGGCATGCAGAGTAGACTCAACTGTAGTTAGCTTTGGTGACGTTCTAAATTATTTTGGACAGAATAGGGTGATGGCAGTCAGATAAAATGATAAAACCATGCAATCCACATTTTGATCCTGTTACTGGGTGTACCTACAGGGAGGGAATGAAGGGGCCATGTTACTCACTCTCACTGCCTGCAGAATTAGAACAGCAGCTATGGGGAAATCTATGCTCTTTTTTCTCCTAGGCTCATACACGTATACTTTAATTCCCCAACTTCACTTAGCTCTCCCCACAGCAACTCTATTTACTTGGACTTTCTTTGAATTTAATTTACTGAGTTTTCCTGCCACAACTTATGCCTACTACTTCTCTTGGCCACACAACAGCAGAACACAGGGTATGGAATCACACATATATTTTATTGCTGCTGCATACACAGAAATGGTAAGTGGTCTAAAAAAGTGTATTAAGTAGCTTGTACTATAGTATACTCAGAAGTAATTGCAACAGCCAGCTGCAATAAAAAAGGAAATAAAATTTTTATATTCATGGCTGATCATGGTCTTACTTAATGCAGAGCTTGTTTTATACTTACTATGCAGAGTGATTCAAACTTTCACATGGTTCCTATTCCAGAAAAAGGTAAGTTAGCTTAAGGAAATATTTTCCTAATTTATTCTTAAATAATATGAGCCTTTATTCTTAAATGAGCATTTGAAAATAGCATACGCTTTAAAAATGAAGCAGAACTTTGAATGACTATGATCTGCTTCTGTTTGCAAACTGAGCTATCAAAAAACCCCTAGCTTCTTCTCAATACAACTTTTAGTGCCATTACCCAAAAAACTTAATGCCAGATGAACACATTTGGAACTGATCTGTATGTTCTTCTACAAACTAATTTTCTTACCACTCTATTTGTTTCATTTCCGCAGCCTAGTTTTTCTGGAATTGTGTTGATAAATAAGGATCGATTGAAGAAGAGAGGCTAAAATCCCTTCTTGTACCTTGTTTTTTAGGCTCAGGCCTTTTCTACAAAAAAGTTATACTGCCCAGCACGGAAAGTTCTTCCCAGTTGCTCACCTAATCGTGTGTCTTGTCTGTAATCAAAAAATATTGACTGGCTCCGTAAGTCCATCCAGTGGCTGCATATGGGAACTGCATGTTCTAGAAGGTAAATTCCAATTTTGTGCCGTTTAGTTTATTGAGTAGTGTAGTTAATGTTATTACTGGAAATGAACCAAAATGTACAATTGGAATACTTCCAGCCTTTGCTGATAGGTAGGTCTGTATCTGTAAAGTATCCTTTGAATAATACTGAGAATTGATTGTTATTGAAGCAGCAGGAACAAGATAGAAGTTGATGATTATTTATTAGTATTTAAATAAAGAGCTCGGAACAGAAACCTGCTGAGTGAAAAGCTTTAGCTTATTTTTATTCTGAAACTGAAACAACTAAGGTAACTGTGAATACAAGCTCTTGTGAGAGTTGTCCTCTTAGATCTCAGCATGCTTGTGTTTCTACTAAAGCTAACCTGTATGAAAGTATATCTGCTGTTCATTAAATATGTTCTTTGTTAAATGCTGTAAGATACTACAAAAAGTAATTAAAAAACTGAATGTAAACAGGATATCTGACACTGTGTTCCAGAAGTCATATTAAGAATTTATATACAGACTATTTCCAGAAAATCCTACTTAAGTTCAGCATGGAATCTTGATGGGTCATCAGACTCATTCAGGCTAGCTGATTGTTTGAGAATCTGCGATTAAATATAGCATTTCCCCTTGGTGATGACAGGAATTTGAGCCTCAGTGCCTTGAGTCCTACTTCTGACATTACTTCCATTATTGCTACCAGTTGTAACTGTGCAGAATATCAATGTGATATTTTTACCAGTCAGAAAAAGTCCATTTGCTAAAAGCCTTTTAATTCTCTGTTCTTGACAAATACAGGCTTCTAAAATCTTCACCATCATTACTTGCTTTTTCTTCCCTTAAAAGTAAATGTATCTTTAATTTTGCCTTCTGGAGTGAATACATTATGATACAGTGCACAATTACATGATAGCCCATTATTTGTCTAGGGGTGCCCTGCTTCAGTTAGTGTGCATAAGCTGGGAAAGCATAAAGACAGAATGACATTTATAACACCAACCTAAATCTAGCTTTTCTTAAATTTTAAGTGCTTTATTTTGCAATCTACATAAATAAATTTTACCCAAGAAAGTTTCAGAAGTATGTTTAAGATACTGTCATGGTAGGTGCTTTGCACATGTCGAAATAACCATATAGGAATTATTGCACGCTGCAATACAACAGTTGCCTTTATATTCTTGTTGACGTTTTTATATATTTCAGATCTTGTTTATTTTCAGTCTGGAATTGCCACTACTGAGATTGCTGTGGTTATAAACTCTTGTAGTTTCTCTCCAACAAGATACCTGGTTTTAGTAATAACATCTAAACTTAGAATATTACATTCCTTTCTTGCTGAAATGATTACTATAAAAATGAGAATGTCAACGTTTTGTGGCTGTAATGCAACTCAAATATCCTGTTTTGCTACAGCAACTCTGTTTTCAGGGTTTTGTTGGGTTTGTGGGGTTTGTTTGTTTGTTTGTTTTAACTAGGGTAACAATGATTTTATACTTAATTCCAGTTGTGGCACCTTATTTGGTAAGCTAAGTACTCTCCAGATCTGAAAACATAGCCTTATATTTGAGCTCCATGGGATTTGAAATTAAAATAAGATGGCTACAAAGGAAAACAATGAAACTATACTTTTAGGAACATTATGAAATAAACAAACAAACAAACAAAGCAGAAAGCATTCAACTCATCTCTAGACCCCACTCTAGCACTTTTTTGCATGGTTCCTGCTTCACAGAGTTGGCTGGTATCTTCGGGATTTACTTTACTCTGTAAGGGTAAAGAGCTGAGTGATATAGAACCACTGAATCAGCTCATAACTTCCCTTTCCCTGTAAGCTGTGACCCTCAGCATATTGTGAGTAGGAGCATAACACAGGTTTCCTTAGAGCTGGGTGTTTATTTTAATATTACATGTTTGACCAGCCCTCAAAAGGCTGTGGATTATAACATTGCCTTTGTCCTGTCCTTCCTTCTGAGCACAACTAGAGGAACACTTGGTTATTTTCTTTTATCTGTATTTGCCAATGTGAGGATTTTATTAATATGTGTCAGTTATGACTGCATCATTTAGCAGAACCAAAAAGACTCAGCTTCTTAGTACATTACAGTAGCTGCAAGTCTTTCCAGAGGTGTCCAGTATATTGGTTTGTTCCATTAAATATAAAGGAAACTATGTTCCTCTAATGATTTATTATTCTTCATGAGCTAGAAGACGAGGAATAAGCAGGATGTGTTTCTGATTTGTTCTGAGCTCCTTAATGGAGATGAGAAAAGAACTCAAGATGTGGTAGGCCTTTTGGTGAGGCTGTAGTAGAGCCCTCTTTTCATCCCTGCCAGCTTCCATGCTTCCAGTCTGAGCTATATTAATAATGCACTCTTCTGTTAATGCAGGACCCTGTGCTGTGACTGATCACTAAACCCCTATGGGAGATTAGAAATAAAGCTGTGAAATTTACACATTTAGAAAATTATTTTCAAATCAGCCGTAGTTTTTTAGCTAAACAAAGCAAGATTAATAAACACCTGCATACCAAACACTTCCCACGAGTATTCTCAATAATTACAAAGCCCATGGATTCTGCTTAGAGGTAAACAGGTTTTGCAGTACACCCTTAATCCTGTACTCAGTTGATGGGTTATTACAGAGATGGGAAATGTATGGAAAAATCTGTCATGTTCTAGTTTCTCTGTCAAAAGGTCTCTAGCTGTTCCAGAAGCCATGAGATCCATCGCCTACCTTAACTCACAAGAGGAAACAGTTTTCTGGTGTTGCAAGCAGCCTTTTTTTCTAGAGTGAACCCAACTGAATGATTTGCAGTGCCATTTTTTGGCATATTTCTCCTTAATAGTGTTCTTGCTGAATGGAAAAACTTTACCGTTCAATGTGTATTTAATTCAAAGAGGAAAAATGCAAAAGGAAAGAATAAACAAAATTAAAAGCTTCTCAGACAAAATAATGGTCACAGAATTGAATTTACAGGTCAACACAAACATTACAGGCATTTTAGTCTGCTGTAATTATGAATGTCCATTTTTTCTTGCCTTATGCATAAAAATAAATGTAAAATATGCCATTTATATTTCTTAAGCCAGATTTTCTTTCATCTTTTTCTAAACCAAGCACTCCTGATCTTTTAAATCTTTTCCTGTGCACAACAGAGCACAATTTAGTAAGGATTGTCAAATGTCATTGCAAAACCAGGTTAATTTAGTGCCATTATGTAATTTAATAGTGTCTTTCAAATTCTAGAATAATTCTAAATATCTACTCAGGGTTTATGATGTTATGTTCTATATTTCTTACGCTTAAATCCAGAGATCTGTTTCAATTGTATTTTCACAGAGGTTTATCCAGCTAGTGTTTGGTTATGAGGTTACAAGTTGGTTTTGAAAAATTTGTTTCATGAATATTTACAGTCCATCTGTTTATGAACGAAGCACAGACTGAAGAGATAGCATATCACAGATGAGTCATAAACCAGTTCTTAATATTTCAGTTTGGAGGCAGTACCGAATGGTGTGTTTGCTCTTGGCCTGCATGCAGTCCTGCAGCTGGTGGGGTAAGGTCTCCCCTTGAATTAATCTCTTCACAAAGCTGGAGGACTTTTGGGTACCCAGTCCTAAGAGCTGTTCACTCTCCCATAATCCTGCCTCCAGAACCTGATAACTGACAAATGGTTAGTGAAGGATTAAACAATAAGTGATCTTTATGTTCTGGTAATTTCTTTGACAGTTTCTTAATATTTTACTGTAGTAAAAAAGTCTGTATACCAAAGGCTGCCAGTCCTGTAACCCTTCTCATTTTAGAAGTGTATACTTAAGGATGCAAAATTTTTTGCATGTTTACATGACTAGTTATTTTTCCATCCGTGCTCTGAGGAAGGTACTACAATGTGCTCATTCTACAGCTGAAGGAAGTGTGGCAGAGAGAGCAATGACTTGTTTCAGGGCACACATCAAGAGTGGTGTAGGCTCAGTCATTCCAACTCCCACTTAGAGTGAACTCTACTTCATTCTTCACAGTATAAAACCCACATCTTACAAAAAAGTAAAAAAATAGCCCCAGTAGATCTATTGCTGGGACAGGATTTTCAGAACCCAGTGTTGGCACTCAGATGCCATCTACACCTTACTGTAATGCTTTAGTCTTTTTTTTTGGTTTTTTTTTGGGGGGGTGTGTAACTTTGTGCCTTTCAAAGAGACACCTTGATACAACTAGAAAATCCAAAGCAACTAAGCTAGCTTTGAAGCAGGAGGTCTGATGGCAATAAAAAGGGAGTGGGATTATTTTAACTAAGCAGTGTTTTAGTATAGTGAACAAACTAGAAAAATCTTATTCCTAACAAATTACAGAGTGGTCCAATGGCAATTGTTTTATTCCTGTTGTAAGCCCTAGCTTACCTTTGAAGAAGTGTTAACAGAAACAGTTCTGTCAATCCCATATAAGAACAAGCTTTTATTCAACATGAATAATCCTATACTATTTTATGGATAAGATTAAAAAATTATTCTACTTTCATGTAAGTGAGGGAAGATTTTTACCACAGAGATACAATGCTGATGGAGCATGCTCATACAAACATGAATGCCAGAAACATCCCTGGCTCGTCAGATCACTCCTTTTAGCCAAAGAACCCAGAATATGGGTTTCACTGTAGTCCCGGAGTGCTGTGTCTTGCCTCATGTTCTGTATGCTCCCAAAAAGCTGTTAGGGACCAATGCATTGACCTTTAATAGTCTCATTTCTTAAACTTGTGCTTGCTGATAATGGCTTTCAAAAAAGGCAGAAACTACTCAGAATGATGAAAAATGAGTAGAAAGAACATCTGTGGACTCACTGGGAGAACAAGACTACTGCAACCACTGTCGCAACATTACTTAAGATCACCTGAGCAGGTAGCAGCTGTGCAGCTTCCCTCATTAAATGATGCCTTCACCTGGCTTTGAGGAAAGACTGAGTACATGGCCCAAAAAGTTCTGCCTTGGGGCTCAGCAGAAATCTATTAACAAAGAACTATAT